AACCCAGGCACGAGATCGTAGACTTTTGGACAAGTAAATCCATCTAAAAACCACTGATGCAAATAAGGTTGGCTTTGATGAAAATAAGTGCATAAAATTGAGGAGTTTCCTAGAACAGTTCCATAGTGTTACCAGTTGCCACTGTGCCTGAAATTCTGCCATTAAAATTTATTCCTGGCTGGGAGTGATGACTCACTTCTGTAGTCCTAGCACCTCGGGAGGCTGAGGGAGGCAGATCACTTGAGCCTGTGCAACATGGTGAAACCCCATCTTTACATCTCTACAAAAAATACAAAAATTAGCTGGGCATGGTGGCATGCACCTACAGTCCTAGCCACTCAGGAGGCTGAGGTGTGACGATCTCTTAAGCCTGGAAGGTAGAGACTGCAGAGCTGAGATTGCACCACTGCACTCCAGCCAGGATTGCAGAGTGAGACCTTATCTCAAAAAAAAAGAAAAAAAAAGATTTATTCCTTCAGAAATTTTCTTCTCTTGGAGCCTCCTATTACAATACACAGAGCTCTGGAGGGGCGGTATATTCCCAAAATCTTTTCTGGAGGAAGGAGTGTGGAAAAGTTTCTTTCTTTTTTTCTTCTTCTTCTTTTTTTTTTTTTTTTTGAGACAAAGTCTTATTCTGTCGCCCAGGCTGGAGTGCAGCGGTGTGATTTTGGCTTACTGCAACCTCCGCCTCCTGGGTTCAAGCGATTTTTGTGCCTCAGCCTCCCAAGTAGCTAGGATTACAGGGGCCCACCACCATGCCCAGCTAATTTTTATATTTTTAGTACGGGGTTTCACCATGGTGGCCAGGCTGGTCTTGAACCCCTGACCTCGTGATCCACCTGCTTCAGCCTCCCAAAATGCTAGGATTACGGGCATGAGCCACCGTGCCCGGCCGGAAAGTTTTCTTTATGGTCAAATAAGTTTTGAGACTCGAACATATTTTAATATCCACTGTGGTAGGCAGAATAATGGCCCTCAAAGATGTCTTTGTCCTAATGCACAGAACCTGTGAAGATGTTACTTTATGTGGCAAAAGGGATCACGCAGATGTGATTAAGGTTCAAGACCGTAAGATGGAAAGCTTAGCTTGTATCATCCAGGTGAGCCCAATTTCATCACACCAGCAGAGAAATTTTCCTGACTGCGGTCAGAGAAAGAGACGTGGCAATGGAAGCCAGGTGAGAGAGATGCTAAATTTCTAGCTTTGAAGATGGAGGAAGGCAACCATGAGTTAAGGAGTGCCAGTGTATGCCTCTAGAAACTGGAAAAAAAGAAATAAATTTTCCCAAAGAGCCTCCTGAAAGAAACTTGGCCTTGCCAATATTTTATTTAGCTCAGTGAGACCCACATCAAATTTCTGATCTATCAAACTGTAAATAAATGTGTATTGTGGGCCGGGCACGGTGGCTCACACCTATAATTCCAGCACTTTGGGAGGCCGAGGCGGGCAGATCACGAGGTCGAGAGATCTAGACAATCCTGGTCAACAAGGTGAAACTTCGTCTCTACTAAAAATACAAAAAAATTAGCTGGGCCTGGTGGCATGCACCTGTAGTCCCAGCTACTCGGGAGGCTGAGGCAGGAGAATTGCTTGAACCCAGGAGGCGGAGGTTGCAGTGAGCCGAGATCGCGCCATTGCACTCCAGCCTGGGTAACAAGAGTGAAACTCCGTCTCAAAAAAATAAAAATAAATAAATAAATAAATTTGTATTGTTTGAAACTATTAAGTTTGTGACAATGCGTTACAATATCATTTGGAAACAAACACACCTCATCCTTGGAGATTCATGGTGCGCTTTGGCATATTAAGGGCTCTATGAAGCTTTTCATTTAACCCAGCACTTTAGAAACTTAATTGAACACCAAACTCTTAGTCTCCGGTAACATACATTAAATCTTAGAACAAGATATGAAAAATACTGCATCTCAGCATTAATTTTTTTTTTTTTTTTTTTGAGATGGAGTTTTGCTCTGTTGCCAGGCTAGAGTATAGTGGCGCGATCTCAGCTCACTGCAACCTCTGCCTCCCAGGTTCAAGTGAGTCCCCTATCTCAGCCTCCCAAGTAGCTGGACTACAGGCTGATGCCACCACGCCCGGCTAGTTTTTTGTATTTTAGTAGAGAGGGGTTTTGACCATGTTAGCCAGGATAGTCTCGATCTCCTATCCCCTATCCACTATCCAGTGACTGGTAGGAAGGGGTTAAGTAGGGTGACTCCTAAGTCCGAATTTGAACCCGTAAGGATAAAGTCCTGAACCTGTTACCCAATGAGAATGACAAGTGCTGGGATTACAGGCTTGAGCCACAGCATTAACCGTTAACATCTAGTGTGATTTGGTTCCTGTGTTTTCAATGTGATAAGTGAAAGAATGGGACACAGGATAGGTAAGTTTTGATGTCCCAGCATGGAGGTCTGAAGAGGTGAGGCCTGGGTGGGAAAACTCATGGAGGAGTGATGAATAGATAGGTGGGTACATGCTACAGACAAACTTTGGCTGCTACACAATGTGTGTTGTTGTGCTCAATAGTTTGTGCCAAGACCTCCTTGCCCTTCAGGTTCACCATCTTCTCTAGGATATTTCCCCTGACCTCCTCTCCCCAGGACTAGGTTGGAAGCCTGTCACATGCTTCCACCGCCTCCTGAGTTTATTTATCTCCGGCTTTGGCACCAATGTACTGAAACGGCCTGTTTGCTTGCCTCTCCTACTGGCCTGAAGTTCCTAGAGGGCAAGTTCACTGTTCACATCTTTTGTGTCCCATCCTGCTTGAGCATATTTAGATGAGCCTTTGTCTCATCCATTTAGACCAAATGTGTATGAGCTTAATCCTGACTTTCCTTAGAATTGGTGGGTACAGTTAAAGCCTAAATCTCCACCCTGGCCCCATGTTGGCTGCCCAGCTACAGTCCAGCCTAAGCACTCATGTTCCAAATAAAACCACAGAGCACCTTCATTTTTTTTTTTTTTTTTTTTTGAGACGGAGTTTCGCTCTTGTTACCCAGGCTGGAGTGCAATGGCGCAATCTCAGCTCACCGCAACCTCCACCTCCTGGGTTCAGGCAATTCTCTTGCCTCAGCCTCCTGAGTAGCTGGGACTACAGGCACATGCCACCATGCCCAGCTAATTTTTTGTATTTTTAGTAGAGACAGGGTTTCACTATGTTGACCAGGATGGTCTTGATCTCTTGACCTCATGATTCACCCACCTCGGCCTCCCAAAGTGCTGGGATTACAGGCTTGAGCCACCGTGCCCGGCCAGAGCACCTTCTATCATACGTTTTGGAGTTTTACTTTATTTTGTTTACCTACCTCCTTCTTTTCCCGTAGTAAAATATGCAAGGGGTTTAGCCTGAATGTGTTCTACATTATACCACAGTTCATGAGGCAGCCAACTAGGTTATAGGGGAGACAGATCAAAAGACCAAATACTACACTGCCAAGATTGTTTGTAGAAAATGGTCAAAATTGAGAAGCTGTATATATGAACAGGACACCCTGTTGAAAGGAAGTGAAGTGCTAGGTCAGTACTGGCATAAGGTAAGAGATCAAATGAGTCAGAGAGAGAATCCCATGTACCACATCTCACATAATCCAGGAAAGCTTCCTGGCTGTGGAGGACTTGGAAGTAAAGAGTAACCAAAATTTCCTGTGAGGAATTGCCCCTTCCCCTCTCTCAGTCCCAAGGTGAAACACAGGTCTTGGTTCTGAACAATCAAAGTCCTGAATCCACTATCCCCAGTGACTGGGAGGAAGGGGTTAACCAGGGTGACTTCTGAGTCTGAATTTGAACCTGTAAGGATAAAGTCCTGAGCCTGTTACCCAATGGAGAATGACAATAAGCCAATAACAAGAGCAGAGGCAAGAAATGGAGAGAGGTCCAGTTCACGAGTCCTGCGTTAAGCTTTATCTGAAGTCCTTTATATACAAAAGATAGTAAATTCCCTTTTCCAAGTAGGCCAGTTTGAGTTGGATTTCTATTTCTTTGTAATCAAGAGTCCTGACGATTCAGAGGAAAGAAGGACATATATAACATGAACAAAGACAGAAAGCTGGGAACTAAGACTCAGGGAGTAGTAGACAGTATTCTCAGCACCCGCCTCCGGGAACTGCCACCTCTCTGACCATCCACATAGTCATAAAGGAGAAATTCCCTATACCTGGACCTATTTAAAAGACCCTGTTCCTGCCTCAAGGTGTCTAGCACCTGTAATCCCAGCTACTGGGGAGGCTGAGGCGGGAAGATCACTTGAGCCGGGGAGTTGGAGGCTGCAGTGAGCCATGATCAGGCTACTGCACTCCAGGCTGGGCAACAGAGCAAGACCCTGTCTCTAAGACAAACCCAAACAAACAAACAAAAAGACCCTACTCCCCTGGTCACATCTGAGCTGCCACAGTTTCTTCCTCAGTAAATTGAAATTGCGAGAAGAGTTTAATGTCAGTCAAGGCTAGTCTCCCGAAGGGGAAAGAAGAGAGACCTTAGAAGCCATAGCATGGCTGTGGCTATCGCTTGTGGACTGAGCAGAAGAGAAAGCAAGACAATATCATCACTTTATAGATGAGGAAAACTGAGGGCCAGAGAGATTATGTAGCTTGCCTAAGGTTGCACATTTGGTATGATTTTACAAAACTAGAATCCAGCTTTTTTAAATTCAAGGGTGGGGCAGGAAACAGCTGGGTCAGAGTGGCCTAAGAACCCTGGACGGGTGAGATTTGGGGCAGACAGCAGGGGTGGTCTCTCCAGAAGAGTCAGACCAAGTCCCACCACTCAGAGACAACTCCCAACACTCAAAACAGCAAAGAAATTCTGGTATTTTAAGTGTTCCTCGCTCGGCTCAGAAACTCGCCTTCGAGCCAGGACACAGACTGCACCTGCGACGAATTTGTCTTGCAGAAACCTGCAGCGCTTCCGCGGCCATTGACTCCCGGAAACTACAATTCCCCTTATGCACTGCGACTGCGCGGACTAAACCGGTATAAACTCCAAGCCCCAGAATGCATTGGGCGAGAGGCGAGCGCACGGAGGAGCGCAGGGGCGTGGCCACGTTGGCCGCCCGGACCGTTAAATTTGAATCTTGGCGGCTAGGGATGCGGGCTTGAGGTGGCTGGTTTGTAAGGGAGTCTAGTGTGTGCTTTGGTCGCTTCTGTAGCTCCGAGAGCAGGTTGCGGAAGAAAGCCCGGGCAGTCTGCGGCCCAGAGGAAAGGCCTGCAGCCGAAGAGGACCTGAGCCAGGAATGCAGGATGGCGGCGGTAAAGAAGGAAGAGGGTGCTCTGAGGTACGTACAGAAGAAGAGCTGCTGGGGGCTGGGCCTGAGAGACCCGAAGGTGCCTGGTAAGTGACAGAGGTTTCGCTCGGAGCAGTCAGGGAGACCGGCACGGTCAGGAGAACAGGCCCAGCCGGAGCTTCCTTCGCTTTGGCGTCGGACGCCAGAGGTGGAGGTGAAAACGCAGAGGAGTGAGGGCACGTGCGAATCCTGCCGCATCCAGCTTCAAAGCGAAGAAGGCTGCGGGACCCCAGCGGGACAGAGAGCTTGGAAGTTGTGATGTGGTCTGTTTGTAACTCAGCTCAGCCGTCTGCTAGTTGTTTGACCTTAGGCAAATCGTTTGTATGGAAAATGCTGATGTTAATGTTGCCTTACGGGGTTCTGGGGGAATTCAAAGTATTTGTTAAGTAACTGCTTTCAAATAAGCGTTCAACAAATGGTAGGTGCTATGTCAATAGCATAGAGGTCTAAAAAGCCTTTAGCCAGTATAGAGATTTAGATTTATTATTCCAATAGCACAGAGATCTAAGCCTTTCTCTACATGTTTGCGGCGTTTCCTTCTATTAAAAGAAACTACATAGCAGTTCTAGGTTAGAAGTCTGTATGTATCTTCACTATGGTGCCCACAGTGCATTGATAAGTGCTGTGTCATGGGCTCTTTCATTCATGTAACAAATGTTTTTTGGCTAAGCTCTGGGTGCAGCAAATACACGGACAAAAAAATCTCAACCCTCATGAAGCTTAAATTCTGGAATGGGATGAAGGTGGGTGAGTTAGACAATAAAGACGAACTGTTAGATGGAGGTGGTGGTCAGTACTTTAAAAAAAAGCATGTGGGGGTAGGGAATATTGGGGGTGAGGAGTGGTGCAATTTTAGCTTGAACATTGGAGTCTCACTGAGGAGATGTCATTTTTGTCAAGACTTGAAGGAATCTGAAGAGCTAGATATTCTTATATCTGGGGGAGTTACAAAGGCTGAGGGTAAGAGTTGGGGGAGGAAGTTGCACCTGGCGTGTCCAAGGCTATGTCCCTGGAGCAGAATTAACTACAAGGGTAAAAGGAGGTAAAGTAAAAAAAGGTGAAGATGCAGGCGTTGTAAGGACTTGGCTTTTACTCTAGTTGTAATCAAAAGTCCTTGGACGGTTTTGAGCAAAGGAAAGACATGATCTGAGTTGGGTTTAAATGGGATCACTTTGGCTGTTGTGTTGAATAGACAAAGGCAGCAAAGGATGGAAGCAAGGGATACCAGTTAAAAGGTTATTGAAATAATTTAGCCCAAAATAATTCAGCTCAAAAGTGAGTTGAGCCAGGTGGAAAACAGTGGAGATGATTAGAAGTGATTGATTTCTGTATACATTTTGAAGGTAGAGCCAGTAGGATTTGCTGACTGACTGAGGGGTATGAGAAGGGCATCAAAGTTGGCACTGAGATTTTTGGCTTGAGTAACTGAAGAATGGGATTGCCATTTATTTGAGAAAGAGGAAGACTGGGAGGAGCAGGTCTGGGAGGAAGTGGAGGCAGTCTTAGATCAATTTGGGATATTTAACTGAGATCGTTTAATCACTATTTTTAAGAGCAAGAGAAGAAAGGTCAGATGAATTCAACAAACATTTATTCAGGGCATAATAGTGTTGTATCTTGTATTAGGTGGTGGGCATATAAAAATAAATGGCATGGTCCTTACTTACCTTTACAGGGTACACAATATACTACTGGTCCTGGTATAATGTTTCATTATAATGTTGATGAGAAAAAAACAGTTTATTGTTGGGCTGCTGTGTATGTGGAGTTTGCTTGTTTTCCCAATGTCTGCGTGGGTTTCCTTAGCTATTCTAATTTCCTTCTATATCCCAAAAATGTGCCTGTTAATTGGTGTGTGTAAGTGGCCCCAGTCTGAATGAAAGTGGGTGTGAATGTGAGTGCGCCGTGTGATGAAATGGTGGTCCTGTCCAGTGTTGATCACTCTCTGAGTTGCTGAGATGGGCTCTGGCCACCCTCAACCCCTAACTAGAATAAGTGTGTTGGAAAATGAATGAAGGAATGAGTTCAAATGATTGTAAAGTAAAAATCTGTAAAGGCCAGGCGCGGTGTCTCACACCTGTAATCCCAGCACTTCGGGAGGCCGAGGCAGCAGGATTGCTTGAGCTCAGCAGTTCAAGACCAGCTTGGGCAACATAGTGGGACCTGCCTCTACTAAAAAAAATTATACAAAGTGTACAATAATCATACAAATGCATGACAATAAGCAACACCTTATGAAAGTGCCCAGCAGCCCCACTATAATGTAATTGTTTGTTTTTGAACTTTGTGGTAGTAGAAGGTGCTTCTTAAAAGTTTCACTCTCAAACATTTATTCCTTGAGTTAACCCACAAACACCATGACTGCGGTCACTCACTGATTCACGAAAAATTGGGTAATGATTATTTTTTGTTTTTATTAATTGTTCTTAATTGTATGGATAGCCCACATTTATTTCCATGTTTAATATTAAAGTGCTTTGGGTCTTTATTTAGAAGTTTGATGATGTTTTTGTGACCAGAAATATGCCATAGGAACTTAACTCTTGTTTATATCAATCAGCCTGTGGCAAAATTGGTTTTGTTACGTCATTTCGATTAAAATCATAGTTTCCAAGAAGTTGTCTCCAACGTTAAGTGAAAACTTATTGTAGTTAAAAAGATGTGACTAATTAGAACTCGAATTATTAATCACAGTTACTTTTTCAGCACTCATCTAGACTGAAGTCCCATATAACTTTCACTCTGTTTCAAAGATTAGTGCCGATCTGTCTCTCTTTTTGTTTCAAATTCAGAGATAATGTCTTTTAGAAGTAGTCTTCTATCAAACCATTGCAGGATTCTGAAGAGCAGAAAACATGATGATAATTACCAAAACGTTTTGGGGATTCTCCCAGTAGGCTTGATAGAATTAGGTGTGGGGATGCAGGGAATTTTGACTAGTAAACTGTTTGTTTGCTTCTGCTCTTGGCTACCTGTATGTACAAACTTCAGTTTTGAGTCATCAGTTGAAACATGGGACATTAGTCTCACCAACACTTTGCTAATTGTATTTATTTTTATGAGACAGGGTCTTGCTCTGTTGCCCAGGCTGCAGTGCAGTGGTGTGATGCTGGCCCACTGCAGCTTTGACCTCCTGAACCCAAACAATCCTCCAACGGCACTCTTCTGAGTAGCTGCAACCATAGATGTGTACCACCACACCTGGCTAATTTTTTATTTTTTGTAGAGATGGGGGTTTTCCTATGTTACTCAGGGTGGTCTCAAACTCCTGGGCTCAAGCATTCCTCCTCCCTCAGCCTCCCAAAGTGGTAGCATTACAGGCATGAGCTACCATATCTGGCACTAATTTTAAATTAAACTAGATGATGCATTCAGTGGTAGGTATAGAAGTACTTGTTGCCTCTTTGCCAAATTTATAAATCTTTTGTTTCCTTCTTTTCTTTGTGCCTTAACCTCTATTCATTTTTCTTTTCCTTTCTTTCTTTCTTTTTTTTTTTAAATTAAACAAGATGGGGTTTCACCATGATGGCCAGGCTGGTCTTGAACTCCTGACCTCAGGTGATCTACCCACCTTGGCCTCCCAAAGTACTAGGATTACAGGCGTGAGCCACCGCGCCTGGTCTCTGTTTTTTTAAAGGAAGAAGTGGGGTCTTGGTATGTTGCCCAGGCTGGTCTTAAACTCTTGGCTCAAGAAATGCTCCTATTTTAACCTCACAAACTGATGGGATTATAGGTGTGAGCCACCGCACACGACCCCGCCGTATTCTTATAGTACTGTCCACAGTATCCTTGCCAGATTGTCTTCCATTAGGCGATACTGTAGCCATAAACCTGAAAACCAGGTAACAGATAAAGCAGCTTAGGAGTATAATAATAATACCGTGTCAGTCCACCATCTTCAACCCAAGACCGTGAATAATCACCTATTTGAAGACATTTGCAATAATCTAGTGCTATAATTCAATGTTGGTATGAGATTTACTTTTGTTTCTTTCTTCACAGTGAAGCCATGTCCCTGGAGGGAGATGAATGGGAACTGAGTAAAGAAAATGTACAACCTTTAAGGCAAGGGAGGATCATGTCCACACTTCAGGGAGCATTGGCACAAGAATTTGCCTGCAACAATGCTCTTCAGCAGCAGAAACGGTGTGTAGAATGTCTGAGTCTCAACCTGTCATCATTCATCTCCAACTGTTGTAGATAATGTGGGTGTGGATCCATGGGGAATGGCATAATGAGTACTCTTTAAAAATGAGTAATATGAGAATCTGTTCCCTACCTGCCTTCTCATCACATGACAACTATCCCAGGATATCCTCAAGTATAATTAAAAACAAGGGCTATAGGATTTAATTTCACTTTGGAGCAGGCAAACTATTTTTAGCAATAGAAATACATTTTATACAGGGGGCAGTGATAAGCATAGTAAAGTAAGTATTATATTGCAATGTTTCCCAAAAGTATTATGTCATTCTGGACCCCTGAACAGACTTAAGTCTTTGATGGTAATTGATAAGGGATATTGCCTCCTTGGATTGTGAGTACTGAGGGAGAGTGAATTTGCTATCTTTTATGTGTACTGAATTATTAACTTTCTAGGAAGTTATTTTTGAGAGTATGACGAAAATAAGTGGTCTCCAAACACATGTAAACCTCAGAAAAATTGAACTTGTACTAGAAAGTTCTCAGTAATGATTTAACAAATTTAACAAATACAAATTTTTGTATTTTGAGTAGAGATGGGGTCTTGCAATGTTGGCATGCTGGTCTTGAACTCTTGAACTGAAGTGATCCTTCCCAGCACTTTGGCATCCCAACGTGCTGGGATTATAGGTGTAAGCTACCACATCCCGCCTCACTCATCATATTTTTTCATGTTACATGCATCAGTAGATTTTCTTTCTATTGCTAAATAGGATTTCATTTATTTATTCACCAATTGATGAATATTTCGATTCTTCTAGTTTTGTGCTTTATGAATAATGTTGCTACGGACATTCTTGTACAAAGCTTTTTGTAGACATAATCTTCATTTCCCTTGGAATGGAATTATTGGACCATAGAATAGATGTATGTTTGGCTGGGCGCAGTGGCTTACGCCTGTAATCCCGGCACTTTGGGAGGCCAAGGTGGACAGATTACTTGAGGTCAAGGTGGGGAGATCACCTGAAGTCAGGAGTTCGAGACCAGCCTGAGCAACACGGAGAAACCCCATCTCTATTAAAAATACAAAAATTAGCCAGGTGTGGTGGCACATGCCTGTAATTCCAGCTACTTGGGGGACTGAGGTAGGAGAACTGCTTGAACCTGGGAGGTGGAAGTTGTGGTGAGCCATGATCACTGCCATTGCACTCCAGCCTGGGCAAAAAGAGCAAAACTCCACCTCAAAAAAAAAAATTAGAATAGATGTATGTTTAACTGTTGAAGAAACTGTTTTACCAAAGTGATTGTAACATTTTACACACCTACCAGCAACTCATGAGAGTTTATTTGCACCACATCCACTCCAGTGTTTGGCGTTGTCAGTCTTTTTCGTTTTAGCCATTCTAGTTTTATGGCGTTAAGTTTCATTACTTCACATTTCCCTGGTGATTAATAATGGTGAACGTTTTTTCACATGCTACTTGGCCTTTTGTATATCTTCTTTTGTGGTGTATCTGTTTAGATATTTGCCCAGTTTTCAAATTGTGTTGCAGGGGTTCTTTATTTACTTTTCCCAGGACCATAGATTCAAGTTTCAGTAGCATAGATTCAAGATTCCCTGAATCTATGCTCCGCAGTAGAGTTCTTTATATATTCTCTGTACCAGTCTTTTGTCAAATATATGTGTCGCAGATTTTTTTTCCCTCATCTATGGCTATTTTCTGGGTGTTTGTTTTTAAACTGCTAAGTTTTAAATATTGATAAAGTTCAATTAGTGTGTATGTGTTTTTTTTTTTATGGTTAGTACTTTTTGTGTCCTTTCCAGGAGATTTTTGCTTACCCCAAAGTCACAAAGTTACTTTCCTATGTTTTCTTCTACTAGCTTCATTGTTTTATGTTTAGGTGTATGATTTATCTTAAATTTATCCTTGTATATGGTATGGGGTTGGAGTAAAAAAGGTTTTTTCCCCCCTCATATGGATATCTTTCTAGTTGTTCTGCCTCCATTTGTTAGAGAGATTTTTGTTTCCTTTCCTCATTGAATTGCATTGGGACCTTTTACAAAAATCATTTGACCACATATGTATTCTGTTCCATTGATCAAATTGCCTATCCTTTCACCAATAATGCTGTGTCTTGATTAGTTTTATATTGCAAGTCCAGGAGGGTGAGTTCTATAGCTCTTGTTCTTTTTCAGAATTGTTTTAGTTATTGTTGATTCTTTGCCTTTGCAAACAAATTTTGAAATCATCTTGTCAATTTCTAGAAGAGAGCCTACTAGGATTTCAATTAAATTGGTTTGAATCTATAGATCAATTGGGAGGATTGCTGATTTTTGTCAGTATCTTGGATTTTATTTTTTCACCATTTCTACAGATAATGTCATTATCTCACTTTAATTGCCATATTAGCTTCATAATTGTGGTCCCTTCTTCTAATGCCTGGCTATCCTTATAAAGTTACTTGATTAATCTTTTGAAATTCTGTCATATTTAAGATAGCCACCATTTAAAGAACCAATGGTGGCTTGAGCAGATGGAATTCAAAGTCTTTAAATTTACATTTAAAACATGTGCTTCTTACTTCGCCAGGTGTCTCCATTTGTTCTCAGTACTGACTTTATGTTACAGCTTAGGGTCCACTCAACTTCCTTTGGATAAACTCTTCCACCTTCATAATTTTATTCAATATTAGTTTCCCTCTTTCTTGGAAAAAACCATTCTTTTTCAAATTTCATCGTTCCTTCAGAGTCCCACCTTCTGAGGCTGCTTCTGTGATACCTCCTTTGACTTCTTAAAGTCTTTACTACCCATTCTTGGCAACTGTAATTTTGTATACTGTTTTGTATTACTAGTACATTTTTCATTTATGTACTTTTTTTAAAATTAGAGTGTAAATTCCCATGTGTCAGGGACTAATTTATTATTTTTAGATCAAACATAACTGCTTATACAATTTTTGTTAGTCATTTATCCAAATTGTGGCTTATTACCTAATTCTTCCCCTCTATTCTAACTCGTCAATCTTAATTTAGTCTTAGCCCTTTGCCTTTCCCAGATTTTTTGAGATGGAGTTTCGCTCTTGTTACCCGGGCTGGAGTGCAATGCTACGATCTCGGCTCACCACAACCTCTGCCTTCTGGGTTCAGGCAATTCTCCTGCCTCAGCCTCCTGAGTAGCTGGGATTACAGGCATGCGCCACCATGCCCAACTAATTTTTTGTATTTTTAGTAGAGACGGGGTTTCACCATGTTGACCAGGATGGTCTTGATCTCTTGACCTCCTGATCCACCCACCTTGGCCTCCCAAAGTGCTGGGATTATAAGCATGAGCCACTGCGCTTGGCCTCTTCCTCTAATTCTATATATTTTCTCCCTCTTATTAAGCAGAATCTTAATTACTTCTAATCTTTTTTTTTTTTTTTGAGACAGAGTCTCACTTTGTTGCTCAGGCTGGTGTGCAGTGGTGCGTCGTCAGCTCACTGCAACCTCTACTTCCTGGGTTCAAGCAATCCTCCCACCTCAGCCTCCCAAGTAGCTGGGAGTATAGGTGCTTGCCGTCACACTCAGCTAATTTGCTGGTGCTTCCCATCACACCCAGCTAACATGATGGGGTTTCACCATGTTCCCCAGGCTGATCTCAAACTCCTGACCTCAAGTGATCCACCTCCTTGGCCTCCCAAAGTGTTGGGATTACAGGCATCAGCCACTGTGCCTGGCCTTGTTCTATTCTTTAGCAAACCCATAAACTCTACTGCAATAATTGAGATCAGTTACATTAATAAAATTAGAAGTGATACTTGTTCATTGTCTGTTGTCACTATTGCATATGCTAACATTTTCTGTTTAAATTTCAGGGCATTTGAATCTGAAATTCGCTTTTACACTGGAAATGACCCTCTGGATGTTTGGGATAGGTGGGTCTTTTTATTTAACAAGGACAATAGAAACATTAACAGACTTTTAATCCCAAGATTCTATGATTATATTTAATTGCAGTTGTTAAAAAAAAAAAACAATTAGAATTTATCTGTTTATTTTTGTTAACCTGGTGCTTGTACTGAAGAAGAATACTATCATAAAGTAAAAAGCATAGTTTAGATCAATGCTACTGAAAGAAGGGTTTGTATACTCTTTGAGAGAAGTACTCAGATGAGTCCTTATGGCCATGTTTCTTAAATTGGGGTGTATGGAGTGTGTGTCAGAGTAGAAAGTGGTGTCATGGGGGCACAGAGATCCAGAATAATCATAATATATCTTCCTGAGGTGTTTAAGATTCAAGAAATTTCGATTTTATGACATACGACATTGAACTACGCCCTTCTATCCCTATCCTCAGTTTTCCCTAGAAGCATGTGTTAGAGACAATTTGGAGAAGTTTGAGGACACAGGCTTAGGGTATGTCACTGAGGACCTCAAAAGAAACATACTTATATTAAATACTTCTGCTTACATCCAGAATGGGTCTTGGAGAAAGAACAAAAATACATTTCAATTTAAAATGTGTTCTTAAATTTTTCTTCCCATTCAGGTATATCAACTGGACAGAGCAGAACTATCCTCAAGGTGGGAAGGAGAGTAACATGTCAACGTTATTAGAAAGAGCTGTAGAAGCATTACAAGGAGAAAAGCGATATTATAGTGATCCTCGATTTCTCAATCTCTGGCTTAAATTAGTAAGTCTTTCTCAAGTGCCATCTGAGTTTTAAATATTGAACTAAGATTTTCTCCAGAGGAATCTGGTATACCACAAAAAAAAAGTAAAACCTGAGCCATTTAGATAGGAAACATTTAATAAATATTCAATATTTCTTAAATTAGTTCTACTTTTTTGTGTGTGTGATGGAGTCTTGCTCTGTTGCCAGGCAACAGATAGTGCAGTGGCACTATCTCTACTAACTGCAACCTCCACCTCCCGGGTTCAAACTATTCTGCCTCAGTCTCCCAAGTAGCTGGGACTATAGCCACATGCCACCACACTCAGCTAATTTTTGTATTTTTAGTAGAGACGGGACTTCACCGTGTTGGTCAGGATGGTCTTGATCTCCTGACCTCATGATCCGCCCACCTCAGCTTTCCAACCCAAAGTGCTGAGATGACAGGTGTGAGCCACTGTGACTAGCCTAAATTGGCTCTACTTAAAGGTGGACTTAAATATAGTATAAACTTTTTTTGCCCTCTTAATATTGATTGCAGTCTGTAGATCTCTCAATGGGTATGGATTATTAGTTAATTTATTTTATTTTTTAAGACAGAGTCTCACTCTGTCACTCAGGCTGGAGTGTAGTGGCTCCATCATGGCTCACTGCAGCCTAAACCTAAGCTCAAGTGATCCTCCCGCCTCAGCCTCCTGAGTAGCTGGGACTACAGGTGCTGTGCCACTACATCTGGCTAATTTTTAAATTTTTAATAAGAGGTGACATCTCTGTTGGTCAGAGTGATCTCGAACTCCTGAGCTCAAGCCGTCCTCCCATCTTGGCCTCCCAAAGTGCTGGGATTACAGGTATGAGCCTACACCCCTAGCCCGGATTACTTATTTATTTATGCTAAACATAACTGGGCTGGGTGCAGTGGCTCATGCCTGTAGTCCCAACACTGGGGGGCTGAGGTGGGCAGATCACTTGAGCCCAGGAGTTCAAGACTAGTCAAGGCAACATGGTGAAACCCCATCTCTACAAAAAAATACAAAAATTAGCCAGGTGTGGTGGCCATGTGCCTGTAGTCCCAGCTACTCAGAAGATTGAAGTGGGAGGATTGCTTGAGCTCAGGATGTCCAGACTACAGTGAGGGCGAGATCGTACCACTGTACCCAAGCCCGTGACAGAGCAAGATCTTGTCTCAAAAAACAAAACAGAAAAAACAACTGGACCGTGAAACTGTACTGGAGGAGGAGGGAGCTAACATTTGGCAGCAGTATGGTTGTTTGGGGAACAATTTCCCTCGGTGATTCTGGTATCCCTTTCACCCCTTTATGAAAGTCATCACCATAAAAAGGTGATGTTTCAGTTTTTTAATTGGTCTTTGTACTTTTTTCACCTAGTATATTGCTATAGCCAAAAATATCTGCCTGGGTTGGGCGCAGTGGTTCATACCTATGATTCCCAACACTTTGGGAGGCCAAGGCAGGTAGATCATTTGAGGTCAGGAGTTTGAGGTTTGAGCCAGCCTGACTAACATCGTGAAACTGTCTCTATAAAAATACAAAAAAAAATTAGCCGGGTGTAGTGGTGCATACCTGTAGTCCCAGCTGCTCGGGAGGCTGAGGGAGGAGAGTTGCTTGAACCCAGGAGGTGGAGGTTGCAGTGAGCCAAGATCATGCCATAGAACTCCAGCCTGGGTGATAGAGCAAGGCTCCATCTCAAAAAAAAAAAAAAAAAAAAAAAAAAATGCTGCCTGATTACTTTGTACTGTCACACTTGACATGTAGAAATAACATATTTTTCATAAAAAACAATGATCGTGGTTTCTTAGACATTAGTATCATTTCTTTTATTCTAAAATGAATTAGAAAAAAACAAGCAGTAAATATTTAAAATTGTTCACAACCACTACAATATGATGAAATATTGACATTAAAACTGATAAGGCTTCTTAGCAAAATAAATCTCTCTCAACATTAAAACGGATAAAATTTTATACTAAAATAAAATAAGAAATTTCTTATTAAGTCTTAAGGAAGACTTATTTTAAACCTCCAATATAGTTGACCCTTGAAGAACACGGGGCTTAGGTGTGCTCACCCCTCACCTAGTTGAAAATATGCATATAACTTTGGACTCCCCCAAAATTATTAATAGCCTACTGTTGACCAGAAGCCTTACCAATAACAAAGTCAATTAACACATAGTTTGTATGCTATATATATAATATCTTTTTTTAGTACAATGTAAACTAGAGAAAAAAATGTTATTAAGAAAATTATAAGGAAGAGAACATGTATTTGCTAGTTGTTAAGTGGATCATTATAAAGATTTTCATCCTCGCTGTCTTCACATTGAGTAAGCTGAGGAGGAAAAAGAAGGGTTTGTCTTGCTGTCTAAGGGATGGCAGAGGTGGAAGAAAATATGTGTATATATGAACCTTTGCAGTTCAGACCTGTGTTGTTCAAGGGTCAACTATAGTTACAAGTATAGAAAATTAGGTAAATCCTCAAGGCATAAGGTATCTTGATTTCCTCAGGACATTTGACAAATATTTTTACATCTTTAGTGAAAGGTTGGAGAAATTACCTTATAGATATTAGTTACAGAAACTTATAATGAAGAACAGCAACCAAAGAATGCTAAACAGATTTGTTAGCATGGAGACTGTAGACCCTTGCAGTGTAACACAATGGTTACACCCAAATAAAGGATTTTGTCCTTGGTTTGGCACTAGCCTAAATATCTTTATGTGTAATTTATTAAAAGATTGGAGACTGGGTGTGGTGGCTCACACCTGTAATCCCAGCACTTTGGGAGGCCAAGGTGGACATATCACCTGAGGTCAGGAGTTCAAGACTAGCCTGCCCAACAAGGTGAAATCCCTTCTCTACTAAAAATCTTAAAATTACCGTGCGTGGTGATGTGTGCCTGTAATCCCAGCTACTTGTGAGGCTGAGGCAGGAGAATTGCTTGAACCTGGATGACAGAGGTTGCAGGAGCTGAGATCATGCCACTGCACTCCAGCCTGGGTGACTGAGAGAGACTCATTCTCAGAAAAAAAGAAATAATAAAAGATTGGACTAGCTGTACCTCTAAAGTGATTTTCAATCTCAGGAATCTATGGTTATATTTAATTGCAGTTGTTAAAAGTAACAATTAGAATAACTTATCTGTTTTTGTTAACCTGGTGCTTATACCGATGAAGAATAATATCATAAAGTAAAGAGCACAGTCTAGATCAGTGCTACTGAAAGAAGGGTTTGCATACTGTTTAAGTACAAAAATTGGAAGTGAGCTTTTGGAAACTTTAGTAACAATTTGATATTGCTGGGACATCCAAGCACATCATCATAGTAAGTTCCATTTTTGTTGTATTTTATGTCAGTCCATGATGGAACACACACATGCACACAATAAAACTGGCCCTTTCACCACAGATTATCTGAGAAGCACTGGTATAGACAACCATCAGGTTTAAATGATCAACACTAGAATGATCAGCAATAATCTGAACTTTGTATGTGACAAACAAGGTACATATTAAACTATTCCTTTTTCTTTGTGGGGCTAGTCAAGAGTGGTAACAGATGAATTCTTCATACTATTTTCTTTTGCTTTGCAGAAGGAGTTCTCCAGTCAGTTATTTTATGTGACTCTTATAGTCTGGCTAAGGAAAAATTTGTTTCTAGAAAACATTTGGTATTTTTATTTAAAGGTATATAATTATTTTAGTTTGGCAATTTAAGGGTTACCAAAAAAGGTTTATTTAACTTTTAGATGTATTAATCTAACCATGTAGTCCTTTTATTTATGTTATTTCTGGTTTGTTTTTTTTTTTTTTTGAGACAGTCTCACCTTGTTGCCCAGGCTAGAGTGCAATGGCATGATCTCAGCTCACTGCAGCCTCTGCCCTCAGGGCTCAAGCGATTTTCCTGACTCAGCCTCCTGAGTGGCTGGGATTACAGGCACATGCCATCACACCTAGCTAATTTTCTTATTTTTAGTAGAGTTGGAGTTTTACCATGTTGGTCAGGCTGGTCTTGAACTCCTGACCTCTTGATCCACCCAACTTGGCCTCCCAAAGTGCCGATATCACAGGCGTGAGCCACCTCTCCCGGCCTGTTTATGTTATTTCTTAGGTGATCTCATTCAGCATTCTGTATAACCTGAGCTTTGCTGGCTGTCCCATGTACAAGAACACCAGAACCATTCAGAAAGCTCTTCAAGTAGTGAAATCAATGTTAAACTGTATTTATGTAGTGATAGATATCAAAGACTGATTGTATGGTGGTAGCGCATTCAGAATTATAACTTTTCTTGAAACACCACCACATATGAGAAAATATCAGAAATTTAAATAAGCAAGAAAAATCCATTTACTGCATTACTGCAAAATTAAACTATAAAATATGCATTATTTTTGTTAAAGATATAAAGAAAACATTTCACTTATTTAGCATTCGTTGTACTAGACCATGATTAAGGGCTGGTATATAATAGATAGCAATGTTTTCTGACTTTGTAGAGCTTAGTTTATCTGGAAGACAGACGTGAAGCCATTAATTTTAACAGTAAATAGAATAAAAGGAGTTCTGTGGGAACACATATAAGAAAGACTTAACCTCGGCTAGACAGTTAGAGATAAATAGAAGACATTTAGTAAAGTAACAAATGGTAGCCTCTCTAGTAGTGAAAGAACTCTGAACTAGAACATTGAGAAATTAGGAACTGTTTTTAATAGCTTCTAATGCTGAATAGAGTCTGGTAGAATGAGTATTTTTGTGAATTATTAAACTTTAGTATTAAAAATTTTTACAACCTTCTCAGAAAGCAATTTACTTTTTAACATAGTTCCAGGAATCTCTCTTAAGGGAGTAATGTAAAATGTGAAGGATTGTATGCATGAAGTTATTTATTATAGAATTATTTATAATTGGACAAAATTAGAAGTAGTTTAAATATCCAGAAGTAGATGAATAATTAAATTATGGAAGCTCTATTATATGAAACATCATGCATTAATTTAAAAATAATAGTGAAAAGAATTCGAGGCTATAGTGAGCTATGATTGTGCCACTGCAGTCCAGCCTGGACAACAGAGCAAGACCTTGTCTCTCGAAAACAAATAAAATAATATTGGTGAAGTAAAAGCAGGAGCATGGAAAAGTGAACAATGAGGTATTATAGTGGAATAAAAGCAAATTTTATGATGATTAAACTTTGTAAGGCAATATATATCCTTTTATCCTTAAGGAAAAAAAGACTGAAAAAATGTATCAAAATGTTTATGATGTGGGGTTTTTAGGGATATTTTCCTCCCTCTTGCTACTAGAATTATCAACATTGTACATGGTCTCATAATGTCCTTTCTAAAACACAGATTTGACTATTCTTTTGCTTATAGCTCACCCACTCTAACACATATAACAGTTACTATTAGGCATATTCAAAATTGATTAGATTGACATTCAAGACGGATCACAGCCTTTTTCTCCAGACTACTGTCTTGCCTGGACCCCTACATAACTTTTAGTCTTCTGTACCTTTGTTTATGCTATTTTCTTTGGCTGAAATGCCCTTCCCTTCCCATTTCCACCTGATGAAAGTCCGTTTCTCCTTCAGGGCCCCCCTTTTTTTTTCTTTTTTTTTTTTTTTTTAAAGAGACAAGGTCTCTGTCACCTAAGCTAGAGTGCAGTGGTGGCATCATAGCTCACTGCATTCTCAAACTCTTCGGCTCAAGTGATTCACCTGCCTTAGCCTCCTGGGTAGCTAGGACTACAGGCGCCTGCCACTGTGCCCAGCTAATTTTTAAAATTTTGTTATAGAGACAGGGACTTGTTATATTGCCCTGGCTTGTCTCCAACTCCTAACCTCAGGTGATCCCAGCCTCCCAAAGTGCTGTCATTACAGTCATAAACCACTGTGCCTGGTTTAATACTACTACATGAAGCCTTTAGTCTCCATCTCTTCTTACAAATCTCTCACTTTTTTCTCTTTTTTAGGTCCTCCCAGTATGGTCATTGTCACATTGTAATAATAGATTTTTTTTTTCAATACAGAAATTGCATGTAGTATCTCCAGTGATTGTCTGGCATCTAATAGGCATTCAATATGTAAGTAGAAATTGGTTAACTGTTAACACTTTTAATTTGTTACAGGGGCGTTTATGCAATGAGCCTTTGGATATGTACAGTTACTTGCACAACCAAGGGATTGGTGTTTCACTTGCTCAGTTCTATATCTCATGGGCAGAAGAATATGAAACTAGAGAAAACTTTAGGAAAGCAGATGCAATATTTCAGGAAGGGATTCAACAGAAGGCTGAACCACTAGAAAGACTACAGTCTCAGCACCGGTAAACTGTTTTTTTTTTTGGAACTTGTTTTAAATCTTTAAAAATAATAGAAATAAATGATCTCTTTTTTCAGTCTGAATGAAGTGCCTTCTGGTCGATTGGCATGTTAAGTTTACTTAGATACTCTTCAGTTTTTTTAAAAGATATATTTTAAAAATTTTATTTAACATAGAGTAAAATTCATTCTGTGGTATGTGGTACTATGAGTAAAAAGACTTAACAATCATCATTACCAAGATACAGAATAATTTCACACCCCCTAAAAGAATTCCCTTTGTAGTCAGTACCTATGCTTACTCCAAACCCCTGGCACACTGATTTATTTTCCAGCCCTATGGTTTTTGCCTTTTCCAGAGTGCCATATAAATGGAATTGTATAGTATGTAGCTTTTTGAGTCTGACTTCTTGATTTAGCATAATGCATTTGAGTTGTAGATTTCTTTATAGATTGTAAATATAAGCCTTTGTCAGATATGTGATTTTAAAATATTTTCTCCCAACTTAAGCCTGGTCTGTTCATTTTCTTAACTGCCTTTTTTAGAACAAAAGTTTTTTATATTAAAGAAGTCTAATTTACAAGTTTTTCTTGTATGGATCGTGCTTTTGATGTTGTGTTTGAGAATTATTTGTCTAGCCAAAGGTTGTCACAGAGATTTTCTTCTAAATTTTTATCTTCAAGTTTTATAATTTCACTTTTTACATTTAGATCTCTGATCCATTTTGAGTTAATTTTTGTAGAAGATAGGGGTTAAGTAAGGTTCTTTTTTTTTTTTAACAGATTGTTCATTTGTTCCAATGCCATTTATTGAAAAGCATTCTCCATTGAATTGCCTTTGCACCTTGATTTAAAAAAAATCAGTTGATCATATTTATGTAGGTTTATTTCTATTATTCCATTTTTTCTACTAGTCTATGTGTCTATCCATTAGTGTATACCATGCTATCTAGATTACTGTACCTTTATATAGTAAGTCTAGAAATCAGGTGAAATTAGTCCTCTAAGTTTGTTCTCATTTGTAACTCTTCTAGTTCATTTGACTTTCTGTTTTAGAATCTGCTTTCTGGGTTTTTTATTAGGATTATTCAGGAATATGGTATAATTCTGCATTTATTTAGTTTTAGTTTTTGTTTTTTTAAGTAAGCTTTGGTAGATTTTTGTCTTTCAAGGAATTGATCCATTCATCCAAGTTAATGAGTTTGTGGGCATAGAGTTGTGCATAATATTCTCTTATTATGCTTTTATTTCTTTCTTTATTTTTGAGACGGAGTTTCGCTCTTGTTACCCAGGCTGGAGTGCAATGGCGCTACCTCGGCTCACCGCAACCTCTGCCTCCTGGGTTCAAGCATTTCTCCTGCCTCAGCCTCCCGAGTAGCTGGGACTACAGGCATGCGCCACCATGCCCAGCTAATTTTTTTGTATTTTTAGTAGAGACAGGGTTTCACCATGTTGACCAGGATGGTCTCGATCTCTTGACCTTGTGATCCACCCACCTTAGCCTCCCAAAGTGCTGGGATTACAGGCGTGTGAGTCACGGCGCCAGGCCCTTATTATGCTTTTAATGTCTGCAGGTTATGTAGTGATTGTCCCTCTTTTTCCTGATACTGATAATTTGTGTCTTCTCAATCTGGCTAGGATATCAATTTTACTGATTGTTTAGAAAATCAGCTTTTGGGTTCATGAAAGTTTTTTTTTTCTTTCTCTTAGTGATTTTCTGTCTTAATTTTATTTCTGCACTTTGTTTCCTTCTTTCTGCTTGCTTTGGATACAACTTGCTCTTCTTTTTGTGATTTAAGGTGAAAGCCTAGACCTTTCTCCTTTTCTAATATAAGCATTTAATGCTCTAAATTCCCTTTTAAGCACTGCTTTAGTTGTATCCCACAAGTTTTGATATACTGTATTTTCATTTTAATTTCATTCGGAATATTTTCTAATTTATTTTGTGCCTTCCTTTTGACCCATGAGTTACTTAGAAGTGTATTATTTAAATTAGGAAGTGTTTTTGGATTTTTCAGATATCCGTTACTGATTTTTAATTTAATTCGATAGTGGTCAGAGAACATAATGTATATGATTTCAATCTTAAAGTTGTTAAGGTTTGTTTATCACACAGATTATGGTCTGTATTGGTGAATGTTTCATGTACACTTGAAAAATATGTGTATTCTGTTTTTTGGAGTGTAATATTCTATAAATATAATTTAGGACAAGTTGACTGATAGTCTGTTCTGGTCTTCTGTATCATTGACGACTTTCTGTCTACTTGTTATATCAGTTACTAAGAGGGGTTTTGAAGCCTCTTTGTGATTTTGTCTATTTCTTTGTCTCATCAGTTTTGGTTAATATATTTTGAAGTTCGGTTGTTAGATGCATAAACATGTAGAATTGGCCCCTATGTCATTTTATAATGTCTCCCTTTATCCCTGATAGTACTCCTTGTTCAGAAGTCTATTTGGTCTGATAGTACAGCTATTCCAGCTTCCTTTTTGTTTACATGATACATCTTTTCCCTTTACTTCTTAAAAACACATTTTTTAAAGATAACACTTTTAAATTATATAATCATCGTTACAATCCAATTTTAGCGCATTTTTAACATCCTAAAATGAACCCCATATCCATTAGCAGTCAGTCACTCCCCATTCCTTTTTTTTTTTTTTTTCCAGCCTTTCTAAGGTTCAATTCAGGTATCACTCCCCATTTCTACTTAACTGCTAGGCAATCACTACTCTGCTTTTTGTCTCTATGGATTTGCTTATTTTGGACATTTCGGTTTAATGGAATCCTACAATACATGGTCTTTTGTGATTGGCTTCTTTCACTTAGCATACTATTTCCTTTTTTTTCCCCCAGGAAAGGGAGAGTGGAACAGGGATTTTCAGCATAGTATTTTCAAGGTTCATCATTACATAGCTGTGACATTATCAGTACTTTATTCCTGTTTATTGCCCAATGATATTCCATTATATGAATAGACTACATTTTATTTATACATTCATCGGTTAATGAACATTTAGGTTTTTTGCACCTTTTGGCTGTTACAAAATAATACTGGTAGGAATATTTGTGTCACAGGTTTTTGTGTGGTTTTCTTTTTACCTTTTTTGTTAAGCCAGTCAAGTTTAGCAGTGGAAGGTTATGTAGCAACTTTAGTGATACTAATGTTAATTAGTTTCTTTAACTTTTAACCTATGTCTTTTTATTTTTTATTGAGTTTCTTATACACAGCAAATAGTTGGATCTTGTTTTTTCCCTGAACTCTAACAATATCTTTTTGGTTATGTTGAACCTACTTAATATAATTTTTAATAATGTTGGGTTTAGGTCTACCCTTTTAATATTTGCTCTATGCCTTTTGTTCCTCTTTGACCTGTTTCCTACCTTATTTTGAATTATTTGAATATTTTTTAGTATTTCGTTTTAACATATGTTATTGGCTTTTTGTCTGTTACAACTTTTTAAGTGGTTGTTATAGGGTATATAACATACATACCTAACCTTTTACATTCTATGTAGAGTTAATATTTCATCGTTTATATATATATAATTGCATTTTAGGTTCTGGGATACATGTAAAGAACATGCAGGATTATTGCTTATGTACATACATGGCAATGTGGTTTGCTGCCTCCATTCCCATCACCTATATCTGACATTTCTCCCCATGTTATCCCTCCCGAACTCCCTACCCCACACTGTCCCTCCCCTAGTGCCCCCCAACAGACCTCAGTATGTGATGCTCCCCTCCCTGTGTCCATGTGTTCTCACTGTTCAACACCCGCCTGTGAGTGAGAACATACGGTGCTTGATTCTCTGTTCCTCTGTCAGTTTGCTGAGAATGATGGTCTCCAGGTCCATCCATATCCCTACAAAGGACATGAACTCATCGTGTTTTATGGCTGCATAGTATTCCATGGTGTATATGTGCCACATTTTCCCTGTCCACATCGATGGGCATTTGTGTTGGTTCCAAGTCTTTGCTATTGTAAACAGTGCTGCAATGAACATTCGTGTGCATGTGTGCTATAATAAAACAATTTATAATCCTTTGGATATATACCCAGTAACTGAATTGCTGGGTCAAATGGAATTTCTATTTCTAGGTCCTTGAGGCATCGCCACACTGTCTTCCACAATGGTTGAACTAATTTACACTCCCACCATAGTGTAAAAGTGTTCCTATTTCTCCACATCTTCTCCAGCATCTGTTGACTCCAGATTTTTTAATGATTGCCGTTCTGACTGGCGTGAGATGGTATCTCAATGTAGTTTTGATTTACATTTCTCTAATGACCAGTGATGGTGAGCATTTTTTCATATGTTTGTTGGCCTCATATATGTCTTCTTTTCAACAGTGTCTGTTCATATCATTCGCCCACTTTTGAATGGCTTTGTCATTTTCTTGTAAATCTGTTTTAGTTCTTTGTAGATTTTGGATATAAGTCCTTTGTCAGATGGTTAGATTGCAAAAATTTTTTCCCATTCTGTTGGTTGCTGGTTCACTCTAATGCCTGTTTCTTGTGCTATGCAGAAGCTATGGAGTTTAATTAGATCCCATTTGTCTATTTTGGCTTTTGTTGCCTATGCCTATGTCCTGAATGGTTTTGCCTAGGTTTTCTTCTAAGGTCGTTATGGTGTTAGGTCTTATGTTTAAGTCTTTAATCCCTGTGGAGTTAATATTAGTGTAAGGTGTCAGGAAGGGGTCCAGTTTCTGCTTTCTGCACCTGGCTAGCCACTTTTCCCAACACTGTTTATTGAACAGGGAATCCTTTCCCCATTGCTTGTTTTTGTCAGGTTTGTCAAAGATCAGATGGTTGTACACAAGTGGCATTGCCTCTGAGGCCTCTGTTCTGTTCCATTGGTCTATATCTCTGTTTTGGTACCAGTACCGTGCTGTTTTGACTACTGTAGCCTTGTATTATAGTTTGAAGTCAGGTAGTGTGATGCCTCCAGCTGTGTTCTTTTTGCTTAGAATTGACTTGGCTATGTGGGCTCACTTTTG